TGATAAAAATGCACTTTTAAGTACTAATCAAATCACAACAATCAATCCTTTGAATTGCGAGATACGTTTGCATTTAAAATGAGCATTTACCATAAATTAAAGCTATCTTATATTATCAGACTTGTTATTATAAAGCATGCTTTAGTTAAGGAGTTATTGATACTTCAAGTGTAAAATGATGATATAAAACCTTGATAAAAATACACGTTAAAGTACTAATCAATCCATAATTTACTTTTGAACATAACAAACTACTCTCTTCCCTTTTCTTTCTCACCCGACTAGATTAATTGTCTTTTTTATCCTTTTTGGTCCGTAACAAATAAAGATTCTATTCAATTAAATTTCAAAATCCAAATTAACTCACCATTATACCTTTCAAATTACAATATTTCCTTTGTTTTTTATATTTATTTTTTTATCTAGATTCTTTTTTGTGATGGTGATTAGTTTGTGAATCATTAGCTTAACTAGGTTGGTGGTTCACGTTATGTGACACAACCAAAAGATTGATGTCTTCTCACAAGTGAAGCACTGTCGAACTAATAAATAACCTAGTAAGAGGGAGGTTAGCTATAATAATAATGATGGTGGTGGTGGAGGTGGTGGTGGTGGTGGTAAGTTAAAGAGGACTTTGAGATGTAAGATTAATATGAAGATCAAACAATGATAAAAAATAGGTGTAAAGGTTAGAGGATCCACTAATAATATTTCAAATAAGTATAATATAAACTCCTTTTATTACTCAATTTGAAACCACACACAAAGGAGGTTTCACTCGGATGATTTGTCACTAATAACTCATTATAAATTATTAACATGATCATATAAATTATTTTATTTAAGTAAAACCAAAATTTTAAATATTATCAAGAATTCATGATGCTAACTTATGTTAACAACAAACTAAATTCCTTTCATAGAACCGGTGTAGGTTATATCATACAATTAGCTATGAAAGTGCTAAGCATTTGTTGTACCAAGTGTTATACAATACAAATTTAGATTAACCATTTAACAAGTAAGGTATTAAAAATTAATAAGGTAAAAATGATAAGACATGTTAATAGCAAGTTATTTAGGATATAATCATTGCAGTCCATATTGAGTTTATATTATACTTATCCCAACACCATTAGTGAAACCTTTTCACCTTAACATATTAAACTTAGCTAAATATAATGAAAAAGAGAAACATAAATAAATTAGAGGAGAACAAGATTATATAAGTATAGTAAAGGAAATGAAAGACATAAACAAGAGATTAACAAAAACAAAACTTAAGCATTAGAAAAATATAAAGAAAAAGAGCAAGACCATGATTTTGATCTGAAAATCAATATGCCTAAATACATGGTAAATGCTTTCTTTTATAGGTCAAAATTTAGAAGTATTGATTTGATGACTAATTATTAAGTAGGTGGCCACCTCTTGACTTTATGACAATTATTATCTTTTTGTCTAAATAAACAGTCATTGATAACATCAGAATTTGAGTAGATATATAAAAGCTCTGGTAAATTGTCTTGCTTTCTAATAAAAAAAATCGGTGTATTTGGACTCCTAGAACTCGAGATATAAGTTGAACACTCAATAGTGTCTAGGCTACATGACAGATTCAGACTTCTCTTTTGATACTAAGATTCGGACTTTTGAATAGCAGAATTGAGTCTTGGACTCTTATGAATATTTTAGGCCTTTGTTTTAGATTTCTAGCCATATAATCCAAACTAAAATCCAAGATCTACAACTCAAGATATGACTCAATGATTGAACAGTGTTCTAGTTTAGACTAAACCAGCATCTCTTTTTTAGGCTTAACCCTCCTTTTATCTTTTCACTTTCAATAGTTAATCATATCAATTAATTCTTTGAATTATGAGATATGCCTATAATTAAAATGAGCATTTACCATAAATTAAAGGTATCTTATATTATTATACATGTTATTATAAAACATGCTTAATTTAGGAAATTTAATGATATTTTAAGTGCAATATAATGATATAAAGACTAAACGAAAATGCACTTTTAAGTACTAATCATTACGCCATAGGATGGACCAAATTTTTAACAAAAAAAAAAGATGTTAGGCAACAATAGTGTTTTTAAAAAAGTAAGAGAAATATGAAAATCGAGTCATTGACTTTATTTGATTTAATAAGGTTAAGTAACTTAATAAGATGATAGAAAATATGCAGCAATAATAAATAAATTGAGCAAAACAAATTTGACCCTAGTCAATTTGGGTTAAACCATGATCCACATATGAGATTGGAATAATCTCATAAAAGGATGGAATAAAAAAAAAAATCAATTGTAAAAAATGATATATAAAATCTAAGTCAACTTGAGCTAACCTTTCAAACTCGTAACCCAAGTTTTAAGGTTGGAACTATCCCATAAAAGGTAAATTTGAACAAAATCATGAAGCCAAAATCTTGATTAAGAAAATTCTAGTAAACTAAATACCAAGACAAAAAATTGAAAAATAAAATTTCAATAAAAAAAAGATAAAAAAACAAAAACAAAACAAATGACAATTAAAAAAAGTAGGACCTAATTAAAATAATAAAATAGAATATTGAGGGATGAAATTAAAAAACAAATTCAATTAAGAAAATAATTTAAAAATTAAAAATTAAAAGAATAGGGATCAAATTTGATAGAAAAAAATCAAATAAGGATGAAATTGAAAGAAAATTTAATTCTATGAATTATTTAAAATAAAATAAATAGTAACTAACAAAACATGGAACAAATATGAAAAACAGATAGATTGAAGAGTTGGTTAAAAGATTTACAAGGTTAGCAGAAAATTCGAGAAGGAAAAAGAAAAGAAAAGAAAAATCAGTGTCAAACTAGAGGTCTGTTGGTCACTTGAGTTAATCGGGGTTAGAGGGGTCATCGTGAAGATTTAAACACCGCTGCAAAAATCGATATTTATTTGTCGTAAGATTTCACACACATTGTCCAAAACGAGCCAATGTTGCCACGCGCACTCTCCTAAACAACATTAATGTGAACCTCGTGGTCATGTGGTCGTGCAACCCTTATATAAAAACATCAATTCCCAGAAAGTCAAGTAAATTAGGTTTAATAGGATTTTGCACAAAGATAACTTGTATCTAGGCACAACCTTATTGGAAATGAAAAACCCTCACTCAACGAATATTGATTCACAAATGAGAAGTATAATGATGACGCCACAAAACTAGTTGTTCTTCAACAAGTTGTTTTTATTTCTATAAAGAATCATAAAAGAGAGATTATCTCACCAACACATACATACAAAGTGTGGCAAATAAGAAGTTTTATTAATCTGAATTGTCTAACTTACATGTCAAGTTATGCCTTTATTTATACTAACTCAAGACTTAAATAAACCTTAATGGACCCCATTTAGGTGGACTTATATAAGACCCACTTATAATTAACTCAAATAAGAAATAATAACATAAATACTAAGAAGAAAATAATAAACATCCAAAAATTATGATCCTAAATATGCTAAAATTATATTTGTCACCATTAAGAAGTCTTAAATAGACTAGGAAATCTGATTTGAAAATAAAATTAATTCTGAAGTCTTCTTTCCTTGTTGTAACTAGGATGAATAAGGAATCTTTGTAAAAAAAGAATTCTAAAATATTTATGAATCTTTGCCACACTTGGAAACCACGGTGCAACCTATTAAAGATCCTTGCAGAATTAAGAGATTTCTAAAACAAGCTATCACATCCTTTTAGGAAAACAATCTTAGCCCAATAGGAAGTCCACAAGTCAAAAGGAAGTACATAACAAAATTCATCCAACCTCTATTGACCAGTATTGCAATACCTTTTCGAATTCTGACTGACCTGAAATTTCAACCTAAGATAGGAAAACATGTGAAGAGACGCCATGTAAAATTTTAGTCCGATCCTACAATCAAATTGAGAATTATGACTATTGCTGTAAAACTAGATAATTGCACATGTTACATCAAAATTCAAATTTGACCTTGTCTGGATCGTATCAAACATGCACCACCCGCTTTTCGATTTTAAATAATATTTTATATATACTAAAATACCAAAGTGCTATTGATCCAAGTCAATAATAACAAAAAAAAAATCATGAAAAGACAACAAAACCCTTATATCTAATTTAAAGATAATTTGAATTCAAGAGAAATATAGTTATTTTACTATGCTAATAAAAGGGAAAAGTTGAAACAGCCCTTGTACACCCTTTTTTTTTCTTTTAAAAGTGTTATAGTTATTTAATTGTGAAAAAAAAAACCTTTCTACTCCAACTGCCCAAACCTTTTTTTTAAGAAGAGTA